AATCAGAGATTCGAGCCCCGCCACCGCCACCCAAAACTGTGGTGGTGGGCAGCTTTACTGTCATCCGGTTCAATAGTACACTATATTGGGTGAACACAAACACGTGGACGGTCCACTAACAGTGAAAACGCACTGACCTTTGGTCGGTGACTCGATGTGGTAATTGTATTATGCACTGATCACGAATTAAAAATCACGGACGCGTAAGCATTGGACCACACTGGTACTTGCGCGCAATATCCCACGTAGCCGAGAAGCGGGGAAACGACCACAGGAGTAGTAGTTCGTTTACTGAAAGAAATCAGGGGGATTAAATAGTATGTAAAAACAAGCTTATTGGTCACCCGGGCCTCTGGCAATCGCGTTCTAGTATTTCTGCCGTTTTCCAGCTTGTCTGGGCCGCACGGCTTCCGATTGGCTGTTACAATCAACCAATGGTATGTAGTCCAGAAGATGTGACACGCACGCGCTTTGCTGACGCCACCCATGAAGCCTGTTTGATCACAATTGTCCGAAAACTTTAACGTGTCCATCCGGGGTGTGCGTTATCTCGTAGGCAAGGATCACCACACACGACTGTGAGCGTCTTAGATTAGTTCATTCGCACAATGGAACCCTGTGAGCGATAGCGGTCAATTCATACATTCTTTTCGTTAAACTTGTCTGGGAAAAATGTAATTCTGAACAATGAATTTTATTATAGATAAGCAACTATACGATGTACAACAGGCTTTCAGAAAACAATTATCATTTTATTAATAAATAAATATGTTATGAGAGATGTCTTTCATTGTGTTCATTAAGATTATATGATGAGTTCTAGATCCAAGACAAATCGAGCGTGTCAAAATGCGTTGTCTTCTCATTTNCTACAAGATACCCCCCTCTGTGTCAAACACCACAGTGATATCTGCTCCAGGCACTTGGCCGGCGCATCATCCACCTTCGGGCCCCGCGTCCTCTACTGCATCCGCAGTGCGAACGACCGCAGTTGGCAGTATGGGTCCACTGAATCAGGCAACTTCACCCACTTTAGCTCGTATTCGTCACGAGATAGACCAATTGTCCAGGTGGTTGACATCGGTCAGCCACTTTATCGAGATGAGCCGAGTGCGCCTGGGGGATCGTTTTGATCAGGAAACGGTCAATGGACAATTGCAGGTAACAGATTAGCCAATGAATCGTTGTTTTCTTTTTAACGGTTACCTTAGTTCACTGTTGTGAGGGATTGGTGCTGTGTGATAGTTGATTTTAACTGATTGATCGCTCTTCACCCACCCACAATGTTCGAATTTTCCCGTCGGAAGAGCTCATCAACTTAGAATATTCATCAGCCCATTCAAGGTTTCAACCTCAGACCACCACGTGGAAGCGTATTTCACCATATCACTGTTCATTTAGCCAATTGATTTAAAATTCTACCTACCTAGTGATCATAATTTCATTTCATTTCCATTATATTGAATAATACAATCGCATAGCCAATATTTAGATAAGGGGCTGCAATCATTTGAAAATTTGTTTGGAAACGTGCAAAAATAGGTCAGATGGCTGGTGGTTGTCATGGTTGTGGGGGTGGCAGGAGGGTGGGGGGATCGAACACATGACCTCCAGTTGGTTGTGAACTTAACAGGTTGACCACCACCACCACAGTTACATCAAATGCCGAGGTGCAGAATAACGAGTATCATAATCAATGATGAGATCCTGGTGATTATCTATGGTGTGTGGCTATCCATTCTACTATTGATCGGCTCACTTACGTATGTGTGACAGACTGCTATCCTTGTTAAATACAAACTAAAATTATGGATGAATGGAACTTCCGGACCAATCGGTCTGTCTCTTCTGCACAAGTGTCCGGTGATATTTAGCCGTGAAAAAGTTCAATTGGGACGATGCTAACGGTTTTGTGTACTTTTACAATGGAATGGGAAAACACCAGTTTCCGAAACATGACATCTTAAGGGCAATTTGGCGGTTTGTTCGGACGTAGGTATAAAGTCACACACGTATAATAGCTGCCTATAATTCACCAGAATAATCTATACAACCGGATCGGGAAGTGCTGTTACTGCATCATTGAGCCTCCCAGTTCACAAACCAGTCCGTGACCGTTCATTTTCCCACACCCAGAATCATTGTGCAACGACAATAGAACCACCATTGGACCAATAGTGTACACCATTAGTTCAAACTTTTCCGACAATGAAGGCTGTCAATACACAGAACAAGAATTGTGTGTTTTACGTGTGTGCTATAGAGACGGGAAAAAGCGGTCGACAGCTGGGGTATAGTATTGTTTTGAATTGCATTGTATTGTATTGTATTGTATTGTATTGTATTGTATTGTACAATGGTAAGCAACTACATATAAACATTAGTCAATAGCTGCGTTCCCCATTGAGAGAAAAACGCATTAACGCAAAACCAAATGCCCCATGATCTACAGTCATTTCGTGTAGAACTGCTTTCTTGTCAGGTAGAATGAGAGCCGAATAGGATCCTGTTGATTTGCGATCCAT